TGTTTGTAATTCGTGTCAACTTCACGTCTTGATGTACCTGTTTTGACATTAAAATGCCAAAAGATTAACAGTTTCCTAACAGTCGGTTAAAGAGTTATTTATCGGAATTTGGCGTCGGTGTGTTTTAAGTGTAAAGTCCTATGTTGTAAGTATTGCGGCGTTGAATTAGGACGTACAAAACGATTAAATGTTACGTAACATTCAAATGATTTATATATTTTTTAAACAAATTGCTTTTAAAAAAAATATAAGTGCATATTTTTATTGAATCTTACACGGTTTTTAAGTGCATATGTGCTTGGATATTTAGTGTTTTTATAGAGTTACAAGTCATCTGCCCTAATAATGTGTATCACAATATAACTGTGATGCGATAAAATGCTGATCAAAAAACGTATTGGTTGAAAGGTCATCAACGTATTTGCACGATGGCGCGAGTGCATATTTTCAAGTGAAAGATTTTGTTCCAGTTCCGTAACAAATATTCAATATACGGGTATGTATTTGGTTCATCGATACGGTGTGCCATAATATTATTTCCAACCTGTAAGTAAGTAACTGCGGATTATTTTCTGATTGGGAAAATTTATCAACCCCGTCCGCTCGATTTTGTAACCGATTTTTCCCCTCATGGTTCTGCGTTTTGCGTTGTGCCTATGTTTACTTTGTAAATATATCGTTATCCCATGCTACACGTGCAGAATGCGTAGGTTGAAATACGATAAACCACGGATAATCGAGAATGGCACGCGGTCACCGACTTATCGGAATAATAATAACATTGTGTATGTAGATAGGTTGTCTCGCCTATACCGACGAAATGCATCTATTTCCATACGGTGACTTCGCAAGGTGAAATATTTCCAATGCTTACAAGTTTCAGACCGATTTACAGAGGTCGATTCTCAATGTCGGAAATAACGGTATGACCGACATGCTATACAGTTGGATGAATGAGATTTGAGCTACACCTTTTCACGGAAGATTTCTAACCGATTTATAGTGCGAATAATTACATGTATTTTTCTTAAGACATGTAATGAGCGTTACTAACCGTTTTTTTTAACATTATCAACACGTTATTGTAGATAGAAAAAACCCGATGCGGCTACGGAATTTTGAAGTTTTTTTTTTTTTTTTGATTGACTATATAAAAAATAAAAAAGAGTACAGTTTCTGATCTAACGAAGTGCTTATAAAAAGAAAAAAAAATCCTCAGCTAAGAAACTAATATTAAAACAGGTAAGTATATTCAAAATAAAATGGTAGTATTTAATATTATTAATGGGTATACCATTAATCGCTTTATAATTATGTATTTTTTTATTTTCTGCGCATGAAACCTTTCCAATTATTTCTGCAGCAGAAATATTCTAAAGTGATCATTAATAGAATCATATTTATCGGTAAAAATATCATCTATTTTGCCGACATTTTCAATAAATTTGCACCTTGTTAATAATCAACTAAAATACCACTCAAACTTTCCAATGTACATGATTAAATTTATAATTTACAACTCTTACATTTGAATGTATAGTATAATAAAACTAATATTATGTATGAAAACTTATTTATGTCTTATTTTTATTATTACTAAACATGAAAATCAAAAATGGATTAATTAAAAAAAAAAAAATGTAATATTTATATTACTACAACTACAAATCGATAAAATTTAATAGCAAAAGTACTTGTATTTTATAATGTACGTCAATCGAATATCTGAAGAATTCGATAATCTGTCTCGGTAATCTATAAACCGTATTACTTCAGATTATATCTTCGTTCTACTGTGTAATTATAAGTATCAAATTGATTAAAAATAAATTAATCGATTTATAAAAATACACTATCAAGGTTTATTGATATTTTTGATCTGCAATCTGCACTACTGATCAATTAATTCTAATAAAATCTTAGAGAACTACGCGGTACAACGTAAAAAAAAAAAAAAAAATGTAATACAACACGCTGACGAAAAGAAAATTAATAATACATAGAAAGAGTGCAATCCGTTGTAGATAATAACAAAGCATAATAATTTATGATATGAAATATAATATTCGACTTATTAATAATCTTCTATCATGTTGAAAATAAGCAATACTTTGTATGATATGCTATACAATTCCGACAGGTAATACGCCAGTATAACTTTTGAATACAATAGCGCTTTTCGTATCCAGTTCGAAGAGATGAATTTGGTTGATTTTGTTTTGATGAATGAATATTATAACGGATATCGTTAGATAATAAATTATAATGAATTACAGTCGTTAAAAACAAGACTGCAGTGAATTTTTATTGGAACGTGTATGTTTAATAAGAATTTTCCGTGACGATGATGACGGTTTTGTATATTTTTTTCCTCTTAAATTATACTTTAAACTATCGAAATGACATGCGATGAGACAATTCCTTAACGACATAGATTAATGCATTAAAGTATACGTATGCAAATTAATTGTTTCTCGTATGACGTTTCTGGTATTTATTACAAAAGCAAAAAAATCAAAAAATAATATTAATACAAATATTATACGCACAGTATGGCTTGATATGACTACGCTTGTACAGAAATTATAATACGAATGTATATAATATTGCATTCGAAAAAGTCTTGTAATGGAGTTAAATAAAAAAAATTAGAAAAAAAAATCATTTGAAAACACACGAAAGCATTATGTACACAGACACAGTAGTGCTTTCGTCATGATTCAGACTAAATTATGTATTTCTGACTAAACCAAAGAAAAAAAGAGTTCTTTTAAAATACATATAAATGTTCTTGCGTTTTATGTAATAAATAAATTAATAATAATAAATGTAAATAAACGTGCTTTACTAAATATTCTTTACTCTTCCTTTACAAACTTCCTTCCTTTTTTTTATATTACACTGCCCAAAGAGAAAATTAAAGGGAAACAACTTACGCAATAAAAAAAAAAAAATCTAAAAAAAGTTTGGTTTTAATATCTGCATATATATACAGTGGAAACTGTGTAATGCGGTCTCTGAATAAAACGGAAACCTATCCAATACGGAATTTTTTTACGGTTCCGGCATGTTTCTATAGTTTTATATAGACGTTGAATCTTAATAAAACGGAACCTTCCTAACGCGGAATCAGAACAATTTTGTAGTTCCCGTGCAAGTAAAAATCTTGTATAAGTCGGAAAAATAACACGCGTCACGTTAAATTAATATGTGTATGTAAAACAAATCAATAACATCATAAAACGATAATTAAGATAGAACTGCATTACATGTATCAGTCAAGTAATTTGTATTTTCGATTATTGAATCAGTGATACGAACTCATCGCGTATAGCTGTGAAACATTAAGCATTCAAACATAAACAATAATAGAGAGAAAACAATTTACATCAGTTTGCTTTTGACCAACAAGATGATAATCTTCTTTAAATGTTTTCTTCAATAAAAAACATACAGAAAGAAAAATAGCGGCAACAATGACAAAACAAAAACTTTTCATGATTTTCGGAAAAGCTAAATGTTTAAATTGAATTTCCAACCTTCATGTATAAATATGTAATATGCATAGATTATTAATAATTTTGTAATAAAATAATTACATAATTAATCTTAAATAAGTTATATAAAGTAAAGTAATAAACTGAGTTTTTAATTAGTCTTTTTAATTAACTCAGAAATAAAAATTTTAAATGTTATAAACTAATTTTGAAATATGAAAAATTGATATGAATTAACAATCCGGAAATTATTCAATAAAATGGAAAACTGCTTAAAGCGGTTGGTCCCATGCTATTCCGCATTAGATAATTTTCACTGTTCTATAATTTTCAGAAAAAAAAAATGTTTTTATTAGGACTTAACATTAAATGTATGTAGGACGTTATTGACAAGTCAGAAGATGGTACTGTTTTATTAATGTCGACACGGGTGGTCTGATGGAAGGGGCGAGAGAAATATGCATATCTCCTTAACTTTTTTTTAATTTTAACACAATACCTATAACGTTATTTTTTATGCTACCTATACCCGTGTTAATATCTTAATAATAAATTGACTAAGTGGGCTTATATTTTAAAATAATGTCACCAAGGGTTATATACGTGTTAAAATATCAGCTTTTCCTTCTTTATAATAAAATCTTTTGTTCGCGACCAAATGGAGGGTATGAAAATATTTAAAACAGAAAAAAAATGGAAAATGAATTGTTTCTTGTAATAAATGTCCAATGGGAATACTGTGTATTTTCCAATTAAGTCTTATACTTCGGCGAGAGATTGATTTCAGTTTTTGCTAAAGAATAGGGTAAAATAATGCTCGGCTCAAAAACTAATAGCTATGTTATACAAAGCTACACGCAAATTCCTCTTATCTATTATTACTGTTTTTCAATTTAAACGGCTAAATATCTTTTCTAATACATTCACCGTTTACTCAAACAAACTATTTATTAAATAATCTTCATTCAAATATATGTTTAACTAAAAGAGAATAAAATATTCATTATAATTCCTGAATGTATAATATCCATCAAAGACTAACTAAATATACTTAAAATTATAGGCACATTTATACGTATAACTATTATATCATAAAATATAAATAATATTGGAAGTTGTTGTATTTATATATTTAATACAAATGCCTGCTTGACATTTTAATCGTATTTTCGATACGTTTATAATCATTACACTTTGTCATAGTAATTATTCTATCTTTAAAATTACATTGTTTTCGGAAAATGTTTCATTTCATTTACACGTACGACGAAACAATGAACTTTTGAGGGAATTTGATTTATCGTAACTTTTTTTTTACCTTGTGACATAACGATCTATCGAGTCATAATTTTGTTATTCTTGTGACTTTAATTTCCTACACTTATTTAGCACCGAATTTCAACAGAGACTCGAATTCCCCAAAAACGTCAAAAATATAAATACATTATAAATCATTGTATTGATCGTTATGAGACGCGTATTAGACATTTGAATTATAAATACCTGAGATGGCATAACTCGTTCGTTTTTTCTGTATAGAGCGTATTTCCATTCCTCGTGTGGCTGCACAGTGCACAGACATGCACGATAATGAGTCTCGGTATTGTCACGTCCGCAATACAATAATAATGATATATGCAAACAATCGGTGACCGCGGTTTTTCGACCACGACGGCTGAACGCACACACGTCAATCTGCACCAACAGAAAACGTTTAATATTATTATATTATTTCGTTTAATATGACCATTATCATTATTATTAATTACGTATCCAATTTGAACGTCATACATTCTATACTACAAAATAATGTAACTACATACGCATATTACACACGGTGTATATATACGGTCGCGCACATACGCACACACACACACATACACACACACACACTCAAACACATACAAATAGGTAGGTATAGCGTATTAAGTATATCTATATGTATCTCAGCATTAATAACAATACAACCACGGTCCAATGCAGGAGCGCGTATCCTGCAGGATATATTCCTAGGATGGGGCTTTTAAAATAATCCCTAATGAACAAAAATAAAAACTAGTTGTGTAAAGTACACAAAGAAATATCTACTCGACATCGTGCTCAGCAAATTATTTATTTATTTAATTTTAATTCATACAATGAATACTGGGCCCCACTGAGATAACTCGTGTGGGGGCCCAGGAGTCCTTACGTTAATACATGTTACAAATAGAAAGCAAATACATAATAATTAAGAATAGGGAAAAAAGTGCTTATAAATAAATATAAATTATAACAGTTTACCTACTATTATCATATTAAATCATCTAAATCTAATAACCATTGAAATTTTTTTTTTAAATAAACTGAGTGGAAGATTTAAGATATCGAAAGGAATTTTTTATATTATTTTGGTACCTATTATTTGAAAATGTCTACCTGAAGTGGTTTTATTCGGCCAATTTATTAAAAAATTGTTTTTAGCATACCTGGTATTAATGTAATAAGGTATGGGATTTATTATATTATGTTTTTTTAAGAATATAACGATCGTTTTATAGTATAATTTTTGTATAGGAAGTAATTTTAATTCTTTATTAAGATTTTCAGTATGGTATCTTAGTGTTTTATTAAAGATCACTTTCAATATTTGATTTTGACAAACTTGTAATTCTTTTAGAACATTATTGAACGCACCACCCCAACCAATTATACCATAGTTAATGACCGATTCTACTTATGTTAAATAAACTTGCCGCAATTTAGATTAACATTTAGAATATGTTACGCAAATCTCTAAAAATATAAATAATTATTCTTACTTTTTTACTTAGAACATTTATTTGATCTTTCCGCCTCATATTATTGCAGATTTAAACTCCTAAGTATTTAACAGAGTTAGTTATTATAATTGTTTCACAAGAACAATCTGTTGGTATATGGCATAATGTATTATGATTGTTTATAAATTTTTTTGTTAGTATTGGATTTTCGGTCAAAGCATGAAGAATAACGTGATTTTCTCATAATTAAGAATAGATTATTTCGGAGCAGCTATTGTTTTATTAATTTTATATCTCAACTTATTAATTCAAATATTTCATCCCATGAGTCTGCTTCACATAGCATTACAATATCATCCGCGTAACAAATAATTTGACTTTTATGGGGAAGTTCATGGATTCCATTTATTTGTACATTAAAGAAAATTGGTGAAATAACAGTACCTTGAGGGCCTTCACATTTAATTTGTTTAAAAGGGCTTGAAGTATTATTTATTTTGATACATTGTTTTCTGTTAGTTAAATATGAAGAAAATAATTTTAGATTATCACCACAAATGCCTATTTGGTTTAATTTAGTTATAAGAATGTTTTGATCAATTGTATCAAAGGCTTTTGCTAAATTTAGATAAACTGTGGCACATTTTTTATTATCATCTGATGATTTTTTGAGCCAACACGGTAACAATTATTTATAGAATTTTCATTAAGCTTAATATTTAGTCCTGTAGCGATTTTTAGTACAAGTTCAGGAATATTTTCATTTTTTCTTCGGGTATGCCATCTGTTATTATTTTATTAGAGATTAATGCTTTTCCGAGTATTTCGAGTTTATTTTTTAGCAGACTTACTTCTTTTTTAAGTTTAGAATTTTCTTTGATGATTTCATCTATATTATCGAATTTGTTGTTAATTGATATGAGATTGTTATTGACGATTTCTTTATGTTCAAAAAATGTTTTTTAAGTTCAATAATGAGATTTTTGATATAATTTAAATTAAATATATTCCCGCTATCACTATTATCAGAATACTTTACGTAGTGCCAAGGTGCATTTAGTTTGGTAAGCTTGTCAAATTCATCTTTGGAAATTTTTGCACAATTAACGTGCCAGACTTTTAGGCAGTTAGAACATGATATTGATGGGGCTAATACAATTTCAGCAGAGCACACTACACAGTTAGACATTGAAAATATTAAATTTGTATACACTAGGAGATTACGCAACGTACGAGAGCGATACAAGAACAACCGCACTGAAAAACATTCAGATAAGAACTGGTTATACAGTTGAATGTTATCGTACAACAGTGTGAGCTACTATACTTTGAGTTTGCATGTTGTACGCATTCTTATTATTTTTATTTTTAATGTTTTCATTAATATTTACCAAAAAAAAAAACTGTATTGTAGTTCAAGAAATTAAGCGGTATATGTATCATAACCACTGATGAAGTTCAATTATAGTCAATCGTCTGGCAGACGGAATGATTCCATTTTTCTATTTTCAGTTTATTACTGATCAAACATTTAAATGTGCAAGACATTTCTCATTTTTTGATTATTTTTGTATATAGGTAGGTACGTACGTAGGAGTGTTTGACGTTCAAACGCTTTGAGTGTATGCAGTAGATCGTGCAAGGTTTTATAACAAATAATTAACTAATTAATTAAATATGTATAACTTATATTCAGAGTTTTACTCCGTTATCAAGAAAATACATTTAATCATTTATTCGTGTATATGAAATATATTTAAATTTAAATATGGAATATTTCTGAACAAATCGTACAGGTAAGTATCAAACAAAAGTGATAACAAATGTTAGAGAATTTATGACTCCTGATATCGTAATGTTGAAAAAATTCATGAATTTACAATGCATTGATAACCTTGTAAGACTTCAACATTCCGTAGTAATATTGTTTTTAGTATAATAGATTTTCTACAGTAAAAAAAAAAAAAAAAACAAATTAATTCCATCAGAAATTGCTTTAAATAAACATAACAACTAAGTAAATCGTAAAGTCGGTAAGTAAATCAAATCGTTGTAAGTTTCCCTTAAACTCAAGTTATCGAGGATCCAATGTTTAGTTTAAAAGGTTTTTGAAGTTTATGGCGAATATATTAACTTAATACATTTAAATTTAATGATAATTAAACATACAATCTGGGAAGGTGATTTATACATTTTTGATTACCCTTAAACATAGGTTTTGGATAAAATGTTTAACAAAAAACCTCTTTGATGTTTCACTTTAATTAATACACATTATAATGTTTTATACGAGCATAAGTTTTTTTTTATTTTAAGTGATACTATAGACAATCCCTTATCGATATTATGTGAAAGTTCCACGGGCACGTTGGTTGTATTATTTTATTAATACTAACTCTTTATATTTTGGGTTAAGTTAATCTTTAGTTTTTAGTCATTATTTAGAGTTTTATTATTATTAATTTTTTTTATCAACATTTGATACTTTAAGAAGCATAGAATCAAACTTTTCTCAGGAGAAAAATATTGAGCCCAATGTAGATGTAGTTATTACATAATGCCATTGTGATATTCACGACGATTTAAATTACAAAAAATATCAAGTAAAAACAATAGTGTCTATAGTTCATACTAAGATAATCATTAACTTTATTAATACGAGTATAATAGTTGTTAGAAAACAATACGTTCATAATCTAATTTAAATTTTTAAAATGTTTGTGAAATATAGAATTTTGGAGTTAAACATTTTGTTAAACAGAATGATAATAAGCATATTGTAATTTACGCGTTATATGAAATAGGAAACCTGATACAATGGTTTAAAATACGTTGATATCAATAACTACTTGTCTTATTTTGACACTCCAAAACCGACTATTTCAAGTAGTAGAAATATAATATAGAGTAATTGAAATATTAAATATAAAATCCAAATTGAAAATTGTTATTAGTCAAAGTATACTATTTAGGCACATAAATATCTTTTAAGCAACTCGATGAATATCCCAAGTACAATTAAAAGCTACGTGTTATATCTGCTTCAAATAACATATAATTTATTAATGAGTGCACTTTCGAAAAAATTGTTTCACAGGCACTTGTTAGTTTGTTACATTAATTCGAAATTTTTTACATTTCTTCCCGACTATTTTATCGAAAGTGTTTTGGAAACTGAAAAATGTATTTAAAGTGTATTTATCACATTTCTCAGTTGTTAGAATTACAATCATACGAATCGTTTGACGATTGTTTTAACCAGTATTATCTGTCAATTGATTTATCAATAGGGATATTTTTTCAACCGGAATCTACTGCAAAACCGAACTAAATCTAAATAAGAGAAGAGTAGTTTATACAAATATCCCACGGACAAAAATTCCGTTTTGAACCACACCGAGTACCGATGCATGATATATTTTAGCAGTGATCAAATCTGCAAAACCGATGTATGCATGTATCATTGTTTTTTTTTTTCAATAACGAACAATTTGGGCAGAGTTTTGTAATTTGCTTATTGAAAATAGAATAAAAATGTATTTATATACTTACATAGATGTAACGTAATGTTGTGTAGAGATACACCAGGTATATTTGTATAAGATAGAACAATGCCTTTAATGTTTATCAGATTTACGGGGCGACGTTTAATTTAAAATTAAACTTTAAAGGAATAACGCGTGCAGAAAGTAGGTCTCGCAGCGTATAACTGAGCACACATGTATACATGTATAACATAATATGTTTTGTTACAATACATATAAATGCAAAAGCTGTCTAGGTATTTCAGTGGGTGTTGACAAAAAGACGTTTAAAAGTGGACCGACTGCTGTTCACAGTTACCGTCAAAATAAGAGAAGTTTATATTGTACATGTTGCATACGGAAAAACAATAACATTTACATCACATGATTTTCGGTGTGGGTCTTACGAGTACATACCTATAATTTGACTCTACGTAGTATGTACCGTATATGAATACAATACAATAATAATAATAATAATAAGTAATAGAATAACATAAAGCAGAATTAAAAATAAAAATTAGTATATGGTTAATACTCATAAATTAATGTATAAATAAAAAAATAAATGGTTTAAAAATATAATAATACTTCAGGCCAAGTATTTATTTATTTCTATATTAATAATAATAATTGTAATAATATTCTTCTTCCTTTTAACCGGTTGTTCAGATCATACATTCAAACATATTTCGTAATAATAATATTATACATAATAGTCCGTATTTCGCATAAAGCGCATATTATCAAGCGCGGACCTAGAAATTAAAAAACGGGGGGGAAGGGGCTAGTTAATTGAGTTATAATAGAACCCTTCTCGTCCATCCCTAGCTAGTTCACCACTCCGGTTGATCCGACCATATGAATACTTTAAAAATATGGGCATTTGGATTTTCCAATTTATAGTAGGTATGTAGATATATTTATAAAATTAATTGCCAGTTTACATATTTATCTATTTTATTATTTAATTATTTATTGAATTTAATATTTGAATGTAATTTAAAATAATATTTAAATTAATTTAATAAATAAATTTGATAACATTTTGTCTTGAAATGTTTCTACATGTTCTGATAATCCGAAATTGATCGCGTTCTAACCACACCCTCAGTCGCAAAGGTGACGGGTTAGATGGGTTCTATTGCACTGTCATAATTCATTACGCATATCGATTTGTACGAAGTCTTTCTTACGCTTAATTTTTCAAATATTTTCAATACCTACGCCCGATTTGATTCTACCTAATGTCTTAGGAAAGGGGGTGCTCAAGTCCCAAATCTATCCCCCCCCTTCGTATCAGTGCCAGCGTATTACATTATATTATTACGGCGGTCTGTGCGGAATTCACTGGAAACATTGATCGAGTTTACATTTTTGCCATGATTTCGTGGCACACCACTCTGTTGGAAAACGTCGACTTAAAGTGGGTCCCGTCACGGATACGGGTGAGGTACGTACACTTGTCAGCCGCGAAAAGTCGGTGTGCGATGCATGTGCGCCCGTAGAGGGAGGCCAAAAGGGCCATTGCCCCTACTGGGAAATTTTGTTTCAAATCTATTGTTAATTTAATACCACGCATATTAATTATAACATAATTTTATTGAGATTCATTTATAAAGCTCAGTAAAATTTAATATATTTTTAGATAATCTAAAATGTATAATCTTGAACGTATTTATTAGTTTATAATGTTTACACATAACTGCATATCGCTGACAACTATAAATTCTCCCGAGTGCCGATGTCTATGGTATTTGTATATGATTCTAGTATATTTTTAGATACACGTTGTTTTGGCCCTTAGAATCTTAATCTTGTCCTGGGTGGGATTTTATCCTGCGGCGATGCTTGGCACTATGGCCGTATTCCCGGGGAGCCACCGTGGACGTAAAGTACGCGACTCTGCGAACAGACGCTGATACGATTGCACAACCGGAGAGCGGATTTTTAGTTTATTCCATATTCGTACGGCTGCATACTAGTTGCGTCCCAAAGATATCAACGAAAAAAGGTCTAATCCGAATTGCGACCCGAATTTATTTTGGGTACAGACGAGTTGCGGCCCGGGTTTTCTAACTCTAGATAATTTAATTTTGACTGATAAAATATTTTGTGAGGCTTTTCATTCGAAATTCAACAGTTTGTTCTACAGTACTCATCCTAATATTTTTGTATTCATCGATGTTTTGAAAAATGCACAAAAATATTCCAATATAAAATTAAAAAGCAGTCACTTAAATACTCGCAGAACAAATATCATTGAAAAAGAAACATTTATTAGAAATGCTATGAAACGGTTAGAAGAAAACCAAATTGACAAATTTGAATTTATACATCATACAAGTCTTTACCAGTGTCATAATACCTAAGAATTTTACTAAATTATACTAACATTTTTAACTTTAATAAATATCATATACGTTTTTACCAGTGCTGAAATTTGTTAATAAAAACAATACATTTTAATATCAGATTTTAATGTCAAAAAAACTTTTTAATCTTAAAAAATATCATATATATTTTTACCAATGCCAAAATGTTAAATAACCTAACTGCAGTATCTAATAAATATGAAGGAAAATGAAGCTTTTTAAATTTAAATTAACATAAATTAATTTAATTTTAAATTTTGAGCCGCAATTCGTATGCACCCCAAAAAAACTCGGGCCGCAATTCAGAAGTAATTTTTACCGCGGAACGCAACTAGTAGCCACCCATTCGTACACCCTTT